TTTTTTTTTTCTTTGACTCGCAAGTCATCAACGGAATTTATGTTTATTAAGCATATTTTGTTGTCGAACTTTACAAGTGGGAGATATTATCATCATAAGTATGTGACAATATAAACATATATATACATAAAATGACATACTTATTCACGATTGAAACATAATATCTATAAAACGGTATATACAATCGAGTCACAAGTTAACGAAAAGAAGAGAAAAAAAAGATTCTTTGTAAATAGCGCCATGGCTTCTTATTATATATATCACATATGTACAAATAGCAAAGATAAATATGGAAAATAATAAAATAACCTCTTTACCTTTAAATGGTGAATTTTTAAGATCTTCATAAATAACATGAAATGGTGGTACACCTTCAGGATGTGGACGTTGTTGTTCAGTTTTCATTGTATGTCCAAGATGACTTTTCATTCGATGTAAAATTGATTCTTGTTGAAATCCATTATCTCCATCAACTTGTATATTATCTTGATAATAACGACAATCGGTTGGATCACTATTATGTACTTTTGAATCTTTATGTTTATTAGATAATTTCGACAAGATTTTATCAAATTTTTTTGTTAAAGCATGATTCATGTTTATTTGCCCTTGAAATAAACTTGATGTTAGTATTGTATGAAGAAGATGAAGAATGAAAACAAAATCTATTATATAATTTGATCAGTATAATACCTAGACATAGACGTATTTATCGTCCATCTGTCACAATGAAAGAATATATATATATATATATATGTAAATAAAAGGAAAAAAAGGCTTGTATATAATAAATAGGAAAATGAGCATAGAAGAAAACAAAATCACTGTGGAATAAGAAACTTTTTTTTTTTTATTTTTTTTCTCTATAGAATTATGACGTATCTTTTGTCTTCTCATTCATCTATAAAGTTAGCAGGCCGAGAAGATGTCTATATGTCCCCAATGAACATTCATTCATCATTATCATCGTGCGACAATAAAGATTTATATGAATTTAAAATTCATAATAATATGTTAGATTTTTTAACTAAATCTTATAATATTCGTCTTTTGATTGTTAATGCAAATTTACATATAGATGTAATCAATCATAAAGAAATCAAGTGTGTTTTGCGTACTTCTATAATCAAGTGCTAATAGTAATTTAATAGGAAACAAATCATTTAAGTTAAAGTGATATTGATAAACTAGAAAATAAATTCTAGGGTTATATTTGATGATTTATATTATTGTTATGAAAGTATAATAAATTAGTATTTTTAACAATACAAAAATATTCTCTTAGGATTTGTTTGATTTTCTCTTATTTATGAAGATGTAAATAACGTAGTTAATTGATAAATACACATACATTAACAAAAAAACTAAATAATATTAATAAAAGTTTCTATTGATTACTTGTAATGTCATCTAACAAATATAAGTAAATAGAACTGATTTTTTATCTGTTGAGTTTTATTTCATTATCACCATTTTTATTTTCTCTGACATAAATCAAAGTGGTTGCAAGATTAAAAAGAATAGCGACAGACAAAAAAAAAGAAATAATGACTTCCGCACTCTTATATCGGTCCATATTAATTATTTTGTTTTTGATTTTTTTAATAAAAACTGCTTTTACTAGCGTTTGTTACCGGAAATTATTATCCATCTTGTTCTTCCATTAACATCATTCAATAAAGAACTCAATTCTTTCAAGGTTTAATATGCATAGAAACATATATGATAATAAAAAAAAAGAAATACAAAATTTAAAAATAAAAAATTGAATAAACATTTTTGGAATTTTATCACAAAAAAAATGACATAGATTTAATTTATTATATATGTGAAAATGTAAGATTGTTGATTAATTATATTGTTTTTATTTATTAGGTAATCAAACAAACCTTTAAGTTATTTTTTTATTAAAAAGAAGATACAATAAATTTAAGAACGTTTAAGATGAGATTGTGGGATTGCATATGGTTGATATCGAGTAGAAGCAGTAGCACCTGATATTGATGGGAAATGTCGTGAAGCATTATTTGCTGCTGTTGCTGTTGTTCTAGTAGCTAGACCTGCATAATAAAGAAGATAAGCAAAGAAAGCAGTGAAATTATTATATACATCATTTTATGATTGTCAGTCATATCTATAGAATTTATAATATATATATATATAGAAGCAATAATATAAATAATAAAAAACTTGATTTTTAGAAAGAAATAAAGAGAATTAAATATTTTATTACTTTCATCTATATATATTTTTTCTTCATTACAAACTGAATTATAATAAGCCTAGAAAGAGAGAGAGAGAGAGAGAGAGAGAGAGAGAATGTGTTCTATCATATATCTAAACTGTTAATCTAACAATAAAAGCATGTCACTGACTGTTATTGCTAATAAATTTTTGATTTAATATAATTGATTAATTTCGGTTAGAAAATGCATTTATAAAGAGAAAAGCAATATTTTATATATATATTTTGTTTTTATAATAATCAGATAGAAATAAAGCAATTCAGAAAATAATTGATATTAATGGTTTTAGTTTCTTATAATAACAGCAAATGTGTTATGCTAATCAATAATTGATCTCATACCGTCGTTCTTCAATAATTTTTCTTTATCTCTCAGTCATATCTTATTGATTTTTTAGAGCAGTTAATCCAATACTAATACCTGTTGCTGTTGAAAGAATTGGATATGTTTGATTTTGATATTCAAAAAGATGTGTTCCATCCGTGATAATACTTCCTGTCATCGGATCAAATGGTTGTAATGGTGTAAATACTTGAAGAAAATTTGATTCATTATTTGGCAGAAATGAAGTTGATACACCAGGTAATACTGATTGTGTATGAGTTGTTGTATATAAATTTGATTGTAATTCTTCAGAAAAATAATTTTGATTGATTTGTGGTGTTAGAATTAATGGTGCACCCATTGGTATTTGATTGATTTGAGTATGTACTCTTTTTTGAAATATATTTGGTTCTCGATATGTTCCATTGATAATAGCTAATTCAGTTAATTGTTTCTTTTTTATATAATCATCACCATTAATCTTATAAAATAAAATAATAAATTAATTTTTTAAAATAATGAAATATTCTTACAGCTGGTATTAATAATTTTTCAATTTCTTCTCTAGCTCGTCGAACTTTAACAGCAGCACGATTTTCATAATCTTCACATTGAATTAATACATGAAGATCTTCATCTAAATGCTCCCAATTGGGTTTACCACGATACATATCTTCCTAAATTTAAAAAAAATTTATGAAAATTTCTTTTTGGGAAATTATACTTTTTGTTTATCTCTCATTGATCCACGTCCACGAATCATTATTTTACAATCAGTTTCTGCTTCAAGTTGTTTCGATGTCATCCCTCGTGGACCTAATATACGACCAACAAAATTAAACTAAAAATAAATAATCATGCATATTAAAATAAACAAAATTAAATTTTATTATTATAAATAAATATATCGAAAAGACAAAGAATTAGTTTCGTTATTTGTGATTGAGTTGTACTTTACATTTAAGCATATCAAAATAAAAAAAAACAAAAATGTGATTGTGAAATATGTGAGAATTTTGTTTTGGTTTTTGAAATTCAGAGAGCAAAAAACTGTTTTGACCAAAATTATTAGAATTTACCGTATATACATATATCGACGTACTAGAAAATCTAGAGTATAAAAATGGTCAGACTCTAACAGATAGATATATGCAAAGTGTAATTTGTCGATATAGGAAGTATGAATGATTACTATATTACTAAAAAATATTTTCTAATATGAACTTACTTCCGGATGTTGAGCTATTGGGATTGCTACTTTTTCGTGGACAATTTTCTTTTCACCATTCGGTTCAGGTAAACTAAATTTTGAGCGAGGATTTACAGTATTCATATTCGATCGAACTTTAGCTATTTCTAAAATATTTTATTTAATTAAATGTCATAATTAGATATAATTATCTACATACCTTGCTCAAGTAAACGTTCGACATGAATAAACATATTTGGTAGTACTGCAAGTTGTTTTTTATCTTTAAGTAATTGCATTAAATATTCTGGTTTATCTACTAAAGCAGGATCCGTTTGAACTGATCCCGGTGATGATCTATAATTCGAAAATTCTATATATATACATATTATTTTATCATATGACTTACGATGTAACTCTAGATATGTCCTGTAATTCAGATGTTGCATCTATTTGAGCATTTTGTTGTATAGTTAATATTTGTGTAGGTGCAGGAGATATCAACATAGTTAAATGCTTTCGATTTTAGTTATAAGTATACACGTGTAAGTAATAAAATATTATTCTTCACACGGTTGATTGACTGAAGAGGAGACAGGTAATATGAGCAACAAAACATAATCCCGTATAATACGTGCCTCAAACAGAACAAACGAAATCATATTTGTTGATCGTTATTTTTTTTTTTGTTTATGAAGCATGAAACAAGAATAATACGTTAGCAAAATGAAGAAAAAAAAATACTGAATAGTGAGGACACATCCATTTTTGAATTTTATTATGTTGATCTTTTATATACTATCGTTATATAAAGCTAAATTTTTTTTTTCGTCTTTCTTTGATTCTTTACTCATACTTTGTCCTTCTATTATCAAATTTATATATATATATATATATAAATGTATGTACAACCAGCAAGGCAACGATGACGCCTACAATTACCTTCGATTTTCTTTTTTTTTTCTTCTTTTCTATACTAACACGTATTTATATTCGATACATTCGTTCACTCTTACGTGAAAAAGAAAAATTAAAATCATACTTTACATATTATATTCTTTTTATGAAATAGTCACTTTTTGTTTGATCTATATCATCATTTCGATATTAAGCTGCAAAAGTCTTCAGAAAACACTCTTGTTTTTCTATATTTATACTTTTAAATAATAATTACATATATTTTATCATAATTATTTTATGATAGTATAAAATACGTACACAATATCTAATGAATATTTCATAATATAATTACAGACTAATAAAAATTATAAAATAATTAATTCTAATTAGATTTTGATGTCAGAATTTTGATTTGCATAGGTAAAGAACATACACAATTAATGTAAATAACATAATGATTTATTATTGTATATAAATCGATCTAATGGTTTACAGACTGTTTTTATATCTTTTTAGAAAATATTCAAGACTTAAATCTATGTTTTGTTTTGTATGTACGATAGACGATGAGACTACAAGAAGAAAACCGATATCGATACTTCAAATTTTATAAGATATTTAGCACATTATTCAATATTTAAATATAAAGTTTGAATCGTATTTTGGTAAAATTCGAGCACGACAATTGTTCCCTGTAATACTTAGTCAGTCGTTTATTGGCATAATAAAGATAGAATTTTGAAGAGTGATATTATTCTATGACACGTAACAATTCTATCAATGGATATATTTTGAATAAGTTGCATTAGAGATACGATCAAAAGCTATCATCTATACCTCCACTTGCCGTCGATAGTGACATCTCTCGTACTAGTTTTAAATCTTGCTAATTAAATAATAATAACTATGAATAATTGAAGGCGTATCAGACATGAGACAATATTCGATTATATATGAGTTGGAAAATATTATGCCCATAATAATTTCTAGTTAGAAGCATCAGACAAATTTAGTATAATAATTATAATCGTACTAACAAGATTACTTGAAATATTTATATAGAATTATGTTTACTATCGAAACAAAGAATCCTAAATAAACCGAGCAATTACCAGGAAGTGATTCCAAACATATATATTACAAATTAGAAAATATTTTAACTAGCGAGTATCAGAGAATTCTCATAGTAATTTGCAAATTAGAAAAATTTCATGTGGTAGAAAACTATTTGCTTTATAATCCATTATGATTAAATTCTATCCAACCTGTAAGAAAGTAAATAAATCCATATTTTTTTGATTGGAAAAATTTTTTCAACGAATGAATATTTTTTGTACAATAAATTTTTTCTTATATAGTCAATTTTTATATATTACAAAAGAAAAGAAAAATGAATATAAGACTAGAGATGAAAAAAAAACATGTTCTAATTAAATGATGGTAACACTGGACCGGATTGTTGATGATGTATCGTTGAATTTTCTGAATTAAAATAATAATTATCATATGATGATGAATTATAATTTGCTTTAAGATTATGTCCATTTAGATAATAATTTGATTGTTTCATAGGATAATTCGTTGACATATCATATGCATCGATTGTTGATGATGAAGGATTATAATCAATTTGAGAATGATATGTTACAGGCATTGATGATGGTGGTGGGTGTGGTAATGGTGTTGTATAATAACTATGATGATGATATGAACGAAAAGTTAGATCATCTTTTTCAGTAGTTGATGATGCCAATGGAGAATTATTTAAATTCATATTACATCCATTGGTATATGCTGTTCGACTTTTACCATCTTTTTTATCTTTCATTCGACGATTTTGAAACCATATCTAAAATTACAAAATAGATTTAAAACTTGAATTTAGTTTAATTTTAATTATTTACCTTAATCTAACGATCACAAATTAAATAAATAAATAAAAGAAATATAGAATCATATTAGAAAAAAATTTTTTTTTTTACTTGTCGTTCTGTTAAACAAAGTGTTTGAGCAAGTTCAATTCGTCGTGGACGATTTAAATATTTACTATAGAGAAATTCTTTTTCAAGTTCAACTAATTGAGCACTTGTATAAGCTGTTCGAGCTCGTTTTGATGCTGTTGAATTACTTTTATCTATGAAAAAGAAACAAAGTTAATCAATAGAAGAAAACTACCATCTTTGATAAGGCTTCAACATTCCCATATATTCTTTAAGAAAACGACAGCATGATATTCGATGAATAATGATATACTCATTTATCATTGTCATACAAACTCATAGACGCGTATGTCAGTAGACATAAACATGAAAAACATCTATCAGTTGCAATAGGTTCTTTTTCTTCTTCTCAGAATAAATTAACTCAATTCTCTCACCTATTCTATTTTAAATAACAAAAATCATTGAAGTCTTATATTCATAGTTACACAAAAAGACTTCTTCAAACTTATTACGTTTGAGAGAAATATACGGATACAATTCACCTTAATAAATCCTGAAAAGTTTTCAATATAATCTTACCAGAAGTAGATGAAGTCGACGAGTTCAGAGTTGTATTATGATTTTTTGAATTCGATTTTAATTTTTTACTTCCATGTTTCTTGTCACTCATCCATGGATAAACTTCTTTATTATTTGGTAATGTTATTGAATTGAATTCACTTGATGGTGAAGATGAATTTTTGTCTGAGATTGATGCTGATGATGATAATATTATTGGTGGTGTATTTGTTGACGAACTTTGATTTGTATTATTCATACTTGTAGAAGAATTTGTTGGCATATTCATATAATAATCATTTTGTTGTTGATAGATTGATTCCCAAGATACTAAAGGATGATGATGTTCAGTATTAACCATAATATATTCTTTTTTTGGTTGGAATGTATTATTTTTATTGTCGATGAAAATGATTTGCTTTCTATTCTTAAAAGCAATATTTTGTAATATGGATGAGTTATTTCTATTTCTTCGTTGCTTCTTCTCTTTCTTTTTTCTTATTCGATAAAAAAACAATATTGTTAACGACCAATAAAATCCTAGAGAACAACAAGAAGAAGAAGAAAAAAGAGAATATCATAGCATTGAAATGTGTGTTAACAAATCAAACATCAAACAGATTTTTAGACGAAAACCTTGCAGTATAACCTGAGAAAAATTTTTTTTTTCTCTTTTTTTTCCTTCAATATTGATTGACGATGAGGGTGTTTCTAATGTGCCAATTTTGATTTATGGTATATGAAAGCACATACTTTTTTCTCTCTGTGTATAGATATAATTACCTTATTTCGTTTTTTTTCTTGTCCAACCATGCGCTACGCATGATCAAAATGCATTTATTATCGTTGACAGAAGTTGTTATTACCCACTGAGTATATTTATATATATACGAAAGAAAAAAGAGAAGAAAACGTATACGCCTCTATTTTAAACATGTAAAAGCATTTACAATCCAATAGTAATGAATTTAGTTTAATGAAGAATAACGATAAAAAAAGGGAGAATAGAAATGATACGAATGGAAAGAAAGAACAAGGTGGAATACATTAGTCATTTGTCAGAAAGAAGATGAATGAGATTAAGCGAATGTTAGAATGATATGATTTGCAAGTAATCATAGGTGTTGAAGAATTATATTAGATGATAAGAAGTACTCGGCCCTATTAAGAAGGTCGTTAGACAGTTGAAAGGTCCACGATTTTGTGGCTAGATGAAGGTTAAGTAAACCTTCGTCTTCTAACTTTAGATAGTTTTGTAAACGAGACAAATATTTATACGTTTTGAAATCGAAAATTGATATAAAAACCTTTGCATGTGTTCAGGGCCCGCGCGAATGGCCTTAGATCGGGGGGGGGGGAGTGTAGCGGGTTTTGAAAGGGTGTAAAAATTTTTGGGGAAGGGGGATGTAAAAGGGTATTTAAAGCAAAATTTACTAACAAAAACAAAAATTTCCAATTATTACAGGGGTGTACACTCTACCACACCCCCCGCTCGTACGGGCCCTGTATGTATTCATTACGCAGTAAGTGTGATTTATCATTACAATAAATATTACTATTGTATTCAGACAAAATTTATCTCTTTTTTTGTTATAAAATGTCCTTCTTTGATTTCGAAATCAACTTGTCCTTGAATAAGATTGATTGACGAATATCTTGCAATATTTATTCATTTAGTATTATAACACTTTTCAAATAGAAGCGGCATAGGGGATCGGTGTATGCTCAATGAACCATACAATAATGTGAAATCATTTTCTTTGAGATCAGATCTATTTGACTCGTAGTCTTTATTCTGACAATCTCAAGCGGTGTGATATTGATGTAACACAATTATAGAGAGATATTCGCCGCTCAATTGATCACCAAAAAAATAGCTAACAGGCAACTATTTGATGTCGAGAAAAATTTGATTTTTTAAATAAGAAAAAAAAAAAGGAAGAGATAATTTTCTTAAATAAGTATTCGTGAAGAATGAAAAATGATCTTTTAATGAGGCAAACATATCAAGAAAAAGAAACACATTCTTATATCAAGATTTTAAATGACAACCTAAGTCATTATCATGTTCTTTCTTATATTCAGTAGCAGCATGGATCATCTATCTTATTTAACATAAGAACAATTAAAAGAACATTGAGAAAACAAATCATAGAGAATAAAGAAAGATAAAAGTCAAAAGTAATCTCAAGAGATGCTATTAATCAAATCAATCTATATGTAGTCTACATTGTTAGTCAATATCAGAGATTTATCAATAAGTATTTAAATCATATATGGATAATCGACGAAAAGTAAATTACTTATTGATCTTTTGAATAAAAATTGTCACATATTTGATTAATATATCAATAAACTAAATCTATGAAATATATAACTTAATTTTCTTACTCATTTAGTGATGTCCTCATAAAAATAAAAAACTTCAAAACAGAACACAAAATTATTTGACAGCTCGAGATCAGAGACAAAACACGTATGCTCATCTTAATTGAAAAAACATTATAATCAATTTCAATAACCTAAATATTGCTTTTATTATGTGTTATTATCGACACCTTTGCCGAATATTTCCAAGCAGTCTTTTATGATCCTTGTTGATTAAACACGCAAAAATTTTATACAGACAATTCTCATTTATATTCAAGCTTATGTAATAAACCATATCAACAACTATTCATTGATTTCGAGGACAAATTTCATACTAATAAATGAGAAGTTTCACTTTATAACGGTTGTTAGAAAAGTACCTATTCATTTCTTCGTTCGATGATCTAATGTACCTAATATGCATCAAATTAAAAAAAACCAATGTTCGAATTCAAAATTGTATATAAATGCGCGTTATAAAATTTACATGTATTCATATACCATCTCATCAGTTTTTGTCTATAGATTTATTTTGATTATTTTTAAGGAATACTACAATTTGGTAAGTTTGTTATATCATTTTTTATCGGAAGAAAAATGTTTAGTTAGATTAAATACACGTGTTTTTTTCTTCGAGCCACTGTAAATAAGAACAAATTATCATACTGTATATTAAATGACGTTGCCAAGGTTCTATCAACTCTTATTTATTATAAAAAGAATGATGTCATTCGGAAATCTCATATTTCCAGTCGATGAATTACTTTATAATGATGTCATGCATCAAGAAGGAATTTATTTTTTGGTTCATTACTTAAAGTAATAGACGAAATTGAATTATACATTCAATAACTATAACTAAAGAAAAGGTCTATTTGTTAGTCATTTATCATCAATGTTGAATATATCACAAACTATATTATGTCAATTGTCATTCATAAAAGTCGTGTATTTCCGTGTCATATCTCATTTTTATAATTATATTTTTCTTCTTTTAACAAACTTTATGCAACAGCCTGTGAGTTTATTTAACATATTTAAAGTCTTTTCATAAGTACAACAACTATGACAAGCTGCTGCTATGAAACTTTTTTTTTTATTCTGATAATACGTGCCAAGGCCGATTAGAAACAAAAAACGAAGAGAATATGTATTAATACAAGAATGTGTGAACTAACCAATTGGAATATATATTTTTTATTATGTACTTTGGTGGTTTATTGTTATACTTTAATTTATCACAAATGAACCAAAGTAAATTGAAAGATTAGTTTTGAAAGGACATGACTAACTAATTATTTGTTACATATGCATATTAATCAGTTACAATTTGGGAATATTTGAAAAAGAATATAGATTAATAATTTTTGAGTACTTTTTTTATTATTATTCTACTCTCATATTATATTCCATATGGAGAATAGAATTAACATAAAGGATTTTTATTAGAAACATCAAAATATGACGTAGTTTCCATTAGATAATAAGAATTTACGAAAATATTCTTTGATTCCGTGCAGATTAAAATAAAAAGACATTGGGAGTAAGAGATAGAGAAAAAAAATGTATATTATATAAAAATGTAATGTGTACTCGTTTGCTGCCTCTTCCGTTCTTTGAGTCTTGTATTCTATCATTTTTTCCGTTGTGTGCGTATGTGTTTAGTTGCCCGTAATGGCCCTTGATTATTACGCTCCCTTGATAGTCAAGTATGGTTTTTTTCCATAATTTTTGTGAAGAAGATCAAATAGAACATGCGATTCTCTCCCACTACACTAGAAATAAATAACGAACTTTTAAATAAAAAGAAGTTTCTGTTTAGTGTTTTTACGATTTATATAATGACTTATTAACATTAGAAGTAGTTTTAAAAGTACGTTCGTTTTTTTCTTGGAATGTGTAAGTTAAGTGATGTTGTATTCTCGATTATTCTATTTATTTATATGAACGGATGAATAGAATAGTTGATGGTAACTTAGTCATGTATAAATTAACTTCATCTATTTTTAAACATAAGTTCAAAATCCGACTCTTCATTTATATCTATATATAGATATATTGAATTAAAGATTATTTAATTTTCTAGATGATTTATTAACGATGTCTAATGTTAATCATTCATTAAATAAGATTAATACTGAATCAAGTAAGTTAGATCGTTCGACTAGTAGTGCTCGTTTTCAAATCGAAAAAGTTTTTGATGATGATGATTCATGTTCAAAAAGATTCTTAGACAAAGCAATAAGTGTTCCTATTAGTAAGTCAAATAAAAAAAAAAACATTTCAATTTTTAAATATCTCATCGCATTAAAAGATTTATCACCATCGATTCTACGATCAACAATTATAAATGAATCGAAAGCAAGAATTTCACTTGAACAAGATGATGATGATGATGATAATGATGACATATTACGTATGGCAAATGCAGATAATAAAGAAACTTATGATACGATGGATGCATTACCACATATTGATCATTATAGAAATTTATTTTCATTTACATCATCAGAACCTAAAACACGACCAACACTTGAAGCTTTACATGGAACAGCTTCTATGCCATCAAAAATGAAATTAGCATCAGCTATTGATTTAAATAGTGAAATGATTAGTACGGTTATGATACCAAATGAGCAACCATTTCAAACTGAAATAAAACCAAAAACTGAAATTGTTAAATTTGGTTGGATTCTTGGCGTTCTTGTATGTTTTTATTTGTTTGCTTGTTTCTTTTGAATATCGATATTTCTATTCTAGATTCGTTGTGTATTGAATATATTTGGTGTTATGTTATTTCTTCGTTTATCTTGGGTTACAGGTCAAGCTGGAATAGGTTTAGCATGTGTAATAATTGCAATATCAACCGTAGTTACTGTTCTAACATCTTTATCAATGAGTGCTATTTGTACAAATGGTGAAGTAAAAGGAGGTGGAACTTATTATCTTATTTCTCGTAGTCTCGGTCCCGAATTTGGTGGTGCTATTGGTTTGATTTTTTCATTCGTTAGTAAGGAAAATATATATAGATTAACTTTTTATCTTATTAACGATTTAAATAGATGCAGTTGCAGCAGCTATGTATACAATTGGTTTTGCGGAAACAGTTCGTGATATGCTTAAAGTAGAAAGAAAAAGATTTTCTTTTGTTTTTTTCAATAAAGATAATTTTAGGATCGTGGTATGAAAATATTAGGAATAGTTATCGATGGAGAATCTGTCAATGCTGTACGAATTATTGGTATGATTTAACAAAGTTTTGTGTTGTCACAATTAAAATTTCTATGTTTCTAGGAGTTATTACGATGACAATTATTTTGGGTATTGCTTTAATTGGTATGCGTGGTGAACTTGTTGTACAAACTACATTACTTATTATATTAAGTGCATCACTTTTGGATTTTTTTATTGGTTCTTTAATGCCAGTTACATCGTATAAACGACGACATGGTTTTGAAGGATATTCATGTAAAATAAAAAAAGATAAAAGAAACGAATTTATGTTCGATAAATTTAGGGAAAATAATAAAAGAAAATTTTGGACCTAAATTTCAAGATGGTGAAACATTTCAACATGTATTTGGTGTTTTTTTTCCATCAGTTACAGGAATTCTTGCTGGTGCAAATATATCCGGAAATTTAAAAGTAAAAATATGCATATGAACGAAAAATTCTACAACGATATTATTTATTTATAATTTTAGAATCCATCAAAAGCCATTCCATTAGGTACAAATGTTGCTATAGCGATTACAACATTTGTTTATCTTGCTTTTTGTGTTATAGCTGGATGTACAACTCATCGTGAAGTTTTTTGTAAGTATTTTAAAAATATAAAATAATTTATTTTGAATTAATAATTTTAGTGGATACCTATGAACGTCGAAATGGAAGTATAATGCAATTTGTTAATTGTTCATTACAATTGAATGATAAAAATTGTAAATCAGGTTTAGTATATAATTATCAAACAATGAAAATGATATCGGCATTTGGACCGATTATAACTGGTATGTTGTATGAAATATCTGATACAGTAATGATTAAATTATCATTGATTTTAGCTGGAATATTTGCTGCAACATTATCAAGTGCTTTAGGTAAAATTCTATCTATATTTTTCTTTTATCGATCATGATCGATAGAATTTATTTAGCAAGTCTTGTTGGTGCACCCAAAATTTTTCAAGCTGTTTGTCGTGATATGATTTTTCCTCGTTTGAAATATTTTGCTGCTGGTAATGGTAAATCTGATGAACCTATACGAGCATATATTCTAGCATATTTTGTTGCTGTTTCTTTTACTGCAATTGGTGAATTGAATGTTATTGCACCAATAATTTCAAATTTTTTTCTTATGACTTATGCATTAGTGAATTATGCATGTTTTGATGCATCATTAGCTAAAGCAAGTGGATGGAGACCAGGCTTTCGATATTATAATAAATGGTTAGCATTAATAGGAGCTGTTTGTTGTATTGCAGTTATGTTTGTTATTAATTGGTAAAACATAACAATTAGAAAATCATCATAAACTATTTTTATTTATTAAGGTGGGCAGCATTGATAACATTTCTTGTAAATATTGGTATTTTTCTTTATGTTCGAACAACAAAACCAGGTAGTATTACAATCGAAAATAAAATAAGTTATTTCATAAGATTATTTTAGAAATCAACTGGGGTACATCTGTACAAGCTCATACATATCGACGAGCACTTGATGCAACACATAAATTAGATACGATTCAAGAACATGTAAAAAATTTTCGACCACAAATGTTAGTTTTAACTGGAAATCCAATAAATCGTCCAGCATTAGTTGATCTTTTTTCATTAGTAGCTCATGGACATAGTCTCATGATTTGTTGTAATGTGATTTTAGTATGTCATTGAAAAATAATTTCTTTTATTTAGAATTAAAAAATAATAAATTATGTTTAAGGAAGATGCATCGGTAAATATTATCTATGATCAAAAAGATGAAGGTGAAACATGGTTAAAACAACGTGCAGCAAAAGCATTCTATCAACGTGTAGTTGCACCAACTATTCGACAAGGTGCAATTGCATTATTACAAGTATGTTGAGACGTTTTTACATATTGATTCATATCTGTTGTTGTTTTATAGTGTGTAGGTGTAGGTAAACTTCGACCAAATGTAGTTGTTCTTGGTTTTAAAAATGATTGGTCAATAAAAGCAGATACAACGATTGATTATTTCAATATTATTCATGATGCATTGCATCTTAAATATGGTGTGGGAATTTTAAGATTACAAACAGGACTTGATTTTAGTGATTTTTTTGAACCAGGTAAAAATCAATTGTCTTTTGGGAAATAATTTTTATTTTTGTGTAATAGATTTACCTGATGATGATGACGATGACGATGATGAAGATAATGAAGAATCTGTTATGTCTAGTCCGTTGCGTGGAACAAAATCACATCATAATATGAATACACCACGTCAAACAGATGTTTTGACATTAAAAAATACGATTATTAATCAAGGTGCTCTATTAACTATGGATATATTTCGTCCTCATCAAACATCATCAGCTATTATTGATGTATGGTGGTTATTTGATGATGGTGGATTAACTTTACTATTACCCTATCTTCTAAGACGTCGAAAACGTTGGCGTAATTGTCAATTTCGAATATTTTCATGTGTACCAGGAGAAAAAAGTGATGCTGAACGGCAACATATTGCAATGGCATCATTATTAACAAAATTTCGTATTAAATACACAGATTTACATGTTCTTCATGGTCTTAATAAACAACCTAATGAATATGAAACACAAAAATTCGAACAACTTATACAAACCTGGGATCAAAATAATGCAAATTCATCAATCGATAGTGAATTATGGAAAATAACAGAGTCTGAATTAGAAGCAAATAGAGAAAAAATTAGACGAGGTCTTAATTTACATGAATATTTACTAAAATATAGTTCGGAATCATCATTAATTATTGTGTAAGTAATTAAGATACATTCACACCCTATGAACATACTTTTTTTTAATACTTTCAGTACATTACCCATTCCACGCAAACAATCAATATCAGCTGGTCTTTATCTTGCATATTTAGATATAATAAGTTATAATTTACCTCCATTATTATTCTTACGTGGTAATCAAAAAAATGTTTTAACATATTATTCATAATTTATTTTAATAAAGTCTTTCCAGTGATATATAGATATATATATATAATATTGTTCTCCCTTTTGTGTTTTATGTGTGTTTATAAAAAGACGAATAAAAAAAAAAGAAGTAACTGTCAAATTACTTTAATATGCTAATTTTTCTGATAAATTTTGTACAAATGTGTCACAATACAGTATAAAAGAGAAACGAGAGAGAGAGAGAGAGACAATGAGATATTATTGTTGTTGTAAACTGGATAGATGATTGAGAATTTTTGCATTTCCTGTTGCATCAAGCCATGCTTCAAAATTTGATACAACAAAACGTTGAAAACGTTGACGTTGTTCAGGATTTAATTGAGCTGCTGTTATTTCATTAGCTAATGTTGAAATTGATTTTTGTCGTTTATCCATAGCTGATTGATATTCGAGTGGAAGTGGAAGTAAACCATCCTATATAAGAAAAAAAGGATATTCTATTTAAACTAAATCATTTGAATTTTTACTGTTTGTTGATCTTCTAATCGAATTGAACTAATTGGATAAAAATCATCTGGTGGAAGAAGTGACCATGGTTGTTCATCAACATAACCAGCTAGATGTGTAACTAATGGTTTATTCCATAGATTAAGTTCTTTACAAAGACCAGCATGTTCCATTTGTTCAGGTAATTCAACATGTGATGAATTATATGGTGCAAAAAGTAAACTAGCACAATTTAATTGAATTAATGGTCGTGATGGTGTATGAATATAGAATGATGATGATCGACATTGACTAAAAGAAAATTTTGGTATAAAAATAGAGAATAATTTATAATTAACCTGATAAGTAATCGACGACATACAGCAGATATTGAAACATTTTCACAATCAGTTACTTTTAATGTTGTTTCAACCGCACCAAGAACGATTGTTACATTATGACATTTACGAACTTCAACGCATCTTTATAATAATGGATTTAGAAGAAGAAAAAAAACAAGGATTCAATTGAATATTTCAATGAAATTTAAATTACCGTAATGGAGCAAGTATGTAGATATATGAATAACTGCAGCGATGAATACGAAATTCTGCATTAGTAATTTCACTCGATTGCTAAAAATCGAATAATTTCAAAACTCAATTATTTTATATCAAAAAAATCTAAGAGAATCTATCAAAACATAGAAAATAGTCGATCAGTGGCGTAGCCAGGATTTTTAAAATAATAGGTAAACTTCTCTTGCGTTGAAAAAAGACGATCGGCAAGATTTTTATTGATAGACCAAAGCTTGTTAGCCCAGCAAGGTATTGTTAACGTAAAAAAAATACAAAAGAATAAAACGAGGTTCTTTTAATCAAACATGCATTAAACTGAGATCTTACGCCCTAGTTATGTGTATTTTTAGTTTCTCTATTTCTAACATTTATGTTTCAAATTCAAACACCTAAATCAGAGCGACGAGAATTTATTTGTCTATATAATTCCTTAATTCCTCACAGAACGAACAAACAAAAGGCGCATGTCTGCTTCAAACGAAAGACAAAAATACATTTGCAGTTTAATTGAAAAAAAAACAAAATAAAAAAGTTTTAAATAAATTTTCCTCCCTTCGCTACGCCACTGTTCTCGTGATAATAAACTTAATATAACTTCTTTTATGTCTCTCAATAGAGGATATGTTTATCTCACCTGATCACTTAAAGATCGATTAATCATTGTCATCAGTACAAATCGATGGCTAGAAAAAAATTCTTTCTTCATGAAATAATAAAGAATAAACTATATTACGATTCATCAGCAAAATTTGAATTACATAGAACTCGACCAGATCTTTGTTCATGTGTTGGATCTAAATGAATTGTTATCCATTGAAATTCAATTTTATAAGATAAAAACTACGAACTATTAAATGGAAGTGGTAAAAGTGTGCCACGTTTCATTGTTTGTCCAACTTGAAATGGATTTGCAATAAGTGAACGACGAATTAAATTGGATAAATTTTTAAATGGAACAATTGATTTATTCTATTCAAATAAATATTAATATAGAAGGTAAAAGTAAAAAATAATTAATCTTACTACGCCTATTTCATGTTGAATTGATGAATTTTGAATAATAACATGTAATGGAACAATTTTTCGAAGATTATCATGAAGTGTTCCTTCAAAAAGATAACTAAGAGCTGTAATAGCATCCATATTTAAAGTAGCTGATTGAACACTTTCACTAGTACTTGATTCTTAATAAATCAAAATATAAAAAAAAAGAAAACTCTCATATTAAAGATGATATACCTGAGGTATCCGAAACAATATTTAATAGATCATCTAAATGTGCCTGAATAAATAATTGATGGCTTTGTTCATCATAAATCTAAAATAAGACATTCTTTTTTTCTAGCATTTGCAAAAATGCCAATTAACATACGCGATTTTTTCGTGCATCTAAATCAGAATTTCGTTTGCGATTTGGCCATCTAAATAACATTTAAGAAACAAAAACATGAATATGTTTATATTCAATTAAATCAATACAAACTCGTCTCGAGAAAGTGTCGATTTCAGATCGATTTGATGGAATGATTGAAGAAAAAGAAGAAGAATAAAAGCCAAACTATCAACTTTTCGTGAATCTTTAAGACGTTCTTTAAAAAAAACAAAAATTTAAATATTAAAATATATAATATCAACATACCAGTCTCAGTAGAAGTATTTGCTTTCGATGTTTGAATATCAGTTTGTATTCGACGTTGAGCTGAAACATTTGTTAACATACTATATGTTTCAAAATACCTATAAATATCGTACTAAAATATTATAATCATTCTTCAATAAATAAACACTTACATCCATGCTAATTCTTCGGACATATGTAATTTCGAGCAAGCAATATGTCGCCAAAGCATATAACTAAAAAAATTAAATTATAGTTGAAACTATTAAAAATAATTTAGCAAATATATTTACTTCATTTTTGGATAACCTGCAGTACCACTTTTTTTCATATATTTAACTAGAGATTTTAAACTCGCAGGTGTAATATCAGGTGGTGGTGGTGTTGTTAATGCGCCGAATGTAAATACTTCTGCTCGACACCATATAGCTAAGTGATGTCGACTATCACTTGTATGTTGTTGTTCAGTCATCTGAAACTGATAGGATTAAAATATTACAAATTTTGAGAATAAAAAAACTGAAATAAAAGAATATATTTTTTTTTTCTTTAAACACTTTCTCCATTTGTCACACGCTGTGCGGTAAATAAACCCGGAAAATAATATTCCGTATATCGTCCATTATTATCTATCCACACAAGACCTTCTTTAACCATAAAATCAATAGCAGCTTCAATTCGTTCATCTGACCATTTTAATTGATCACGTAATTGTTCTTTGGTGAAACTTGAACGTGTTTGTAGTGAATTTAATATTGCTGTATGATCCATACTTAATTCACCAGGTATACATTGTATAAGTATACGTCCTTGACCATTGGTCGGTTCAATTACAGCAAAACCATCACCGAGTGCACGTAATTTTTTAATCGCACGTAAAATATCATCAGTAGATACATCTTGAGCTGATTTAGATTTTCCACGTGCTTTTCGTACACGTAATAAAAGTTCATCAAGTGAAATAAGACCACCATTTTGTGCACTTGTTGCAACACAAACTTCAACAATTTGAACAGCTAATTCATAATAAAAATCACCAACACCAAGAACTTGAGACCAAAAACCTTTACTAGCTGAAAACAGAAATACATCAGAAAATATTACAAACAATAATTTAGTTTTCAATATTACACGCAAGTGGATCAACACCAACTGTTGCACACATATCTTGAAATTGTTGTCGAAATTTAAGATCTTTTTTTATTTCATTTCGATGTTTTTCAGCAAATTTCTCCAAATTATCACGAAAAGTTTCGAATTGTTTAGCTAGCTACAAAATAGAAAATGAAATTTATTATTTAACAAAGAACTATTGATCATTTCTTAATAATAAAAATATTAAACTATTATACCTTTTCTAAATGATCACGAGCAAGTTCACTACCTTTTTCACTGAATTTTGCCTAGAAATAATCAATTATAAAAATAACTCTTTGAAAGTTTGTCATACCTTCTCAAGTAATTGTTGATTAATTCCACCAATACCAACACCTCGTCGCATTTTATTCTACAATAAAAATAATATCAATACATACATTGTTTTTTCTCGTTAAACTTTATTACAAATAAAGACGAACAATAACAGTTTTCTGCTGATGTTTCTTTTATCTCATGCACACACACACACGCACACGTAAAGACAATGCTTTATTAGCTACAACGACACACAAAAAGAAATGAATTGCTTTAATCTAGATACAAAAAAAAGCGAGAAAACACTGTTTATTGTTTTTGTTTAGAATATACATATAAACAAAAAAAAGAAAAGAAACTGATTTTTTTAATTTAACTTTCAGATAGTAAATCTGATTTCTGGCACGATAATTGAAGACGACGTTCACGTTCAAGAAATCGTCTAAAAGAAAAATTATATTTAACTATTAAAAATAAGAATTTAGATAGAATTTTCTTTTTACCGTCGCATATGCGAGATTAATAATTGTTTTCTATTAGCTAATGGTAGTTGTGGATCTAATGGCCATGTAAAATTCTCGATATCATCAGTATCAATTAAATCATCATTTTGTGTCATTCGAGGTATTTCAGATCTAAATATGAATTATTAAATAGCATGAATTCTTTCTTAGTGTAGTTTCTACGTACAATAAATCTGTATCAATTGGTTCACCTGCTTCCGATGATGATGCTGATGTTGATGTATATGATGATTCTTCAGAGGCTGATGTTTCAGGATGATGATGATGAACTTGTTGTGGTTCAATATGAATACGATGATCAATAATATTTTCAATAGTTGCATCAATTGATTGTGTTCGTTGAAGATCGGTAAGAATGATTTCATATGGAATTTGTGGAAATACTTGTTGAACACTTTGAGCCATACTTGTTAATTGTACACCGGTTAGACGAGCACGACCAAAACGAAATGGAAAATTATGATTTATTTCAATTGAGAAACTTGGTAACCATGATGAATAACGATTACCATCAAAACGAAATAAATGATTACGTGGTGGACGTGGATTAGTAGGATCATTCAAACCGTGAACATTTCTTGCAAAACGTGCAAGAGTTAATGATGGCCAAAGAAGAAAATTAGGTGTTGGTTGTGTTGGAGGAGTAGGAACTGGAGGAACAGGTGTTTGTTGAACTGCATCTTCTTGTAAAGATAAACGACATATTGGACATGTTGTATCTTGTTCAAGCCAACTTCGAAGACAATTTTGATGAAATAAATGACCACCTAAAATCAATTATTTATTCAAACTTCATCATTATGTGCATAATAACGAAAGCTTTTCTATAGTCTTAGAGAAAAAATAAGCCTAGCTTATAAGATAATTCCATTAAAAGATTTTATTCTATAAATTTAACGTGATTGATGATTCTAAAAACTGGAGGTGGTTGTATTAAACTAATCATCGTATTCCTATCAGCTTCCGGTGCTTTTCGAAAACTATTTCTTTATTAATTATAATATTAATCTTACATGGTAAACATCTTGCTTTTTCAAATTTTTCCCAACAAATAGAACAAACTTCTTCTAAACTTGATATATAATTTTGTTTAATATATTTTTGTTCTAAATCATATTTTGTTAAAAGTGGGTATTTTTTTTCCATTCGTATCATTGCACTACGATATGATTTATGTCTTTTTAAACGTTGAGTTAATTCATTGAATAATGGTTTTAATTGCATAAAAAATATTAATGATGCCATTGACATAAATGTTTGATGATAAAATAACATTTGTAAATGATGTATGATATCAATAATTAATATAATCATATGATAGATAAATTCAATATAATAAATAATATATGAACGATTTTCATTTGATGTTGTTAATGGATTTTGTTCTTGTTGTTGTTTATAGATATAATATTGAAATATATATTTAAATAAAAGATAACATGTATCCAATGTTAATAAAGTCGTTTCAGCTAACATAAAGAAAAATATTGATAAACCACCATATTTTAAACCAATAAGAAAGCAAATCGTGAGTAAAATACAACATAAAATAAGTAAGGAAATCAGTAAACAAAGAATTTTAAGAAGTGGTTGACGACGAATTGAAGCTGAAACTGATAACTAAAAGAAAATATGATAAATTAAATTCTGATAAAAATCAATTTTCATTTACTAATTCAAATCGATCTTTAGATAATTGACAAAAGAGTAATGCAAATGCTAAAATTGAAAACCAAGATATCCAAAGAACAAGTTCATTCAAATTTTCCAAGCCGAGTACACCGAATAAAAAACAGAATTTGTAAAATACATAATTCCAAAATTTATCTTTTATACGTTGTAATTCAACAAGACGTAATTCACCAAATATAGATTCTTGTAAATATTTACCAAATAATCCAAATGAACAATAAATTGCATTAACAAATATCTAAATAAATATAGATTTTTATTTTATAACGACGAATATTTTTTCTTACTAGCAAGGATAATGATTGAGATATAATTATTGATAAAAGTGTTTGAATATATGCAAATGTAAATGGTTCTGCATCAGAAATAAATATTGATCCATTTAGAATTGTTTCATTCGTAGAATTTTCAACATTTGTTTGAATTAAATGATGAAAATACAATATATTACCAAAAAATAAAGATGTACTAATCAATGTGTAATATCGAAGGGATGGTAATGGTAATCGATCGAGTATATGTCGAAGACGTAAAGGCATGATTATACTATTTTAAATAGATAAAAAAAAATAACATGACCTAGTCAATGAGATATAAAAAAAAGATAATAAGTTGAAATAAAGTAGGCGGGGAGAATAAAACGTAATGTATACCGAGTAACAATCCAATAAACTAAAGCAACAACTTTTTTTTTCTATTTCGGTATTCTACATGCATTCAATAGAAAGATTGAATGAACTTGAATATCGAAAGATGTCGTATAAAGATAGAAAAAAAACAACAACATATATTTTATATCACTATGATGTCGCCTGTGTATGACTGTGGTTAGAGAAGATAATGTATTAAAAGAATTATATTCAGTCATGTTTTATTTCTCAATACCTTTTACTAAATAATAACAAGTGTAATAATGAAGTTTTTTTAAAATGACTATTCATTATTGAATCTACAATTTTATTTTTGAATTAAACTATGTTTTAACATTTTAAATAGAATACAAATATAATTGGTGTTTATAGATTATCGTTAATATCTATTTTAATATCCTCTTGTGGTTGATTAGTTAATATCAAAGTTCGTTTTGGAGGTAAGATTGTCCATACAAGTAATGCAATGGCAATAGGTGTGAAGTGAAATATATAAAACCAAAATTCTTGTCGATGTGCAGCAACATAATAATATGGACAGGATATAACCATCAGATAAATAGTAACAATCAAACTAGTAATACTGGAGATAAATAGAACAAGAATAGCTTGTTTTGTCATAAGTTTCGTTGTTTTAGTTAGATACCAAATAGGATAGAAGAGAATAGCCATAATAAGAACAATTGCAGCTGATGCTTCTCGTAATTGAAAACTTGTCTCAATTGTATTCATATTTCTAGATAATATACCAGCTGGAATCATGATAATTGTTGAAGTAATTGTAGCTAAACCTGATCCCATGATGATAGTTCGAGAAACACGAGAGTCCAAGGTACCAGTTTGAGTAAGAAAATCATAATTAGCTAAAATAATCATACGTTGACTAACAGTAAGTAGAACTGTTGTAGTTGTAAATGCAGCTCTGGTGTTACGAGTATCAAGCGAAAGAGTAGCACGAAGTATAAGTTCAATAAAAAGAGTTAGACGAGAAATGAGAAGAAGAATAATAACTCGACGTGGTCTAAATTGTGATTGAATTGATTGTATAATCCATAAAATTAATAAAATACCAATAATAGTAGCAAAAAAACCAGCCACTATTTTGTTTGGTTCATAGGCTGGATATGGAAAATTAGATAAATCTACCATGTTATTTCCTATAGAAAAAAAGTACAATTTATCTTTGTGAAAAGTAGTTGGAAAACGAGAATTACCACGAAAAGAGAAATATTCTCATTGGTCAAAAATTAATCAATCATAAAATCAGAGCTACGAAAGCATCATTATAGAGTACAGAAGTATGGACATGGTTATCCTTAGTAACTACTTTTGTGAAGAAAATATTTACTTCATATAATTTAAATAGAAAATGAATATTGTCTGGAACCATATAATCACGTCTTTTGATAGATAGATGAATAACTAAGGATATTTATATATAGGTACAAAAGCAAATGAAAAGGGATTAAACGAATTACAAAGTTATATAATATCCTGCCTTATTGAAGGGTGTGGGTATTGTATTTATGTCACTTTCGTACCCAAACTCCCACCCTTATCATTTCTGTTTTAATAATAAATATACACCTACTCATTTTACATGTTCCATTCATATTCATACACAATGCCATCTTGATTTAATACTGTTGTTTCGAATGAGATAATTTTAAAGGAACGACTACTGGTTCGTGCTTTATTTAATAGAATGAATATGAAATAATGTCGAACGGATAAGAAAACGAAGAGAGAAAGAACAATTATCGATTATCTATCGCTGACGAGGCGAAACGGTCAAGAACGAAAGAAAGTGAACACGAAGACAAAGGAAGGTGAAAGAATGAAAAATGATCGATGTGTATGTACATGCAAAGCGGACATGTACATACAAGAATATAGAAGAGATAGTGATGGATGAAATTGATGAGAAAATCGCTGATAACTGAAAGTCAACGAATGTAAAGATAATGAATATTGATATAGAAATGAATAACGCATGTCTTTAACATTTTGAAGAACTCACAAGTCGAGATTGTGTAGCTTCCATCTTGAGGATAGATGTGCAGATAAAGAGATGAGATACCCATATCTTAAATTTAATTATAAGTTTTAGTAGTCATTGTGAAGTTTGAAGTGCGACTTCTAAAAGTATATATGCCAGAATATACTGAAGGAGTAGTTTATTATTTCTAGTTATTTATTTTCTCGTGAAAATTTGATTGGAAGGTGTGGGTATCGATGTCGCTGGTGTGCTTTTATTATATCCGCACCCATACCCACACCTACACCTACACCCACCCACACTCACACCTACACCCACACGCATACCCACCCACACCCACACACACACACCCACACCCACACCCACACCCTCACCCACACCCACACCCACACCCACACCCTTATACAAGATAACAACATTACCTCCTTTTAAAAGCAGTTAAATAACTTAAAGGCTATACATAAATTTTATTTCATTCTTCGCCTTAGAATCTTTTCGATTTATCAATATTTTCAAGTTTTTCATTCGTAATAGTTCATTAAATGATCTGGTAAAATAGTTTAACTAGCTTGAGACGTGTGTCATCAGATGACCAAATAATAATTTCATCTATACAAAGCTGACGTGGCACTTTGTTAGTCGTGAATGAAGGTGTGGATGGTGTGTTTATATTTTACCCATACCTACCCATCGTGTTATCTTACATTTACTCTAAATAAACGTTAGAATTTATTTCTTCTTCTTCATGACATTATGAATAGCTTGATAAACAGTATATATTTGAATTTCGACGTTTTTGAATTCGATACATTTTTTTACTGTCTTTTTCCGTTAGACTAAAAAAGAAAGATATTTTATATACACATGGTAAGAAAATGCATTATTAAGATAAAGCTAGTAGCCAATCTGGTTTTTCTTCAAATATGGAATCAGTCCATTTTCTGACTATCTCATACAATATATTTGATTATGAAGCGTATATTCTTTTTGTGTACTCAAAAAGTGAGTACACTACTAGAATCGGTCAGTGTGTCCGGCCGTTTACACGGTAACGCACGGAACGAGAATGAGACTGAGGTGAAATTTTCTACACAATTTAGTCTCATTGATATCTCGGTCGAGTTCGAAGATGAGCTTAATCGGTTGTACCATTGCTGAGTTATAAAAAAAATTCTCATTATTGATTAGACCATCACTAAGGGGGGGGGGGGTACAGGGATTTTTTTTCAAAACAAAATATTATTCTCAAAATTATTCACACCATATATAAATCGACTCAGTTTTTAGCGCTGATTCTGAATCTGATATTAGTTTTGAACCAAATCGTAGCTTTCTAAGAAAATCTCGCCTGAAAAAGGTCTCAAAATGCACAAAAACCGTATCTAGACACCAAACTGCCTTCATATGTGTCAGATGACTAGTAGTTTTAAGGTTTTCCAAATACCTGGTTTTGTAGCTAGTCAAAAGGACTATCGAAAAGTAAAAACCCGAACTCGATAGCCATTAATATTGGTGAGTTATTATGAAAATACTGATGTTTGTATCTATCATATATCTCTTACAAATTCATGAGGTTGCTTATGATCGTAATTCCTCTAGATACAAACACAAATTCATTTAGAAATTATTCCTCTTACCTAGTATTGTTGGAGTAGCTAGAATTTGTGAAGAGCCTTGAATAATGATGTGGGGTAAATATGGTGCGTTCGAGGTTTCCTCAACATTACACTATCTGAAAACTGAAAAACTCACATATTTTGACACTGCTGTTAGAACTGTTTATTGTTGATTAAGAATAAAAAACTAGGTCAATGTCTATTTCCGCTTTTTGCAGTACACATAACTCTCGGATAAAATCCGAGGTTACGCATTTATTTTCCTATCTATTTGACTCTTTCTTTTCTTATTGTATGATTCGACTGTGCCTTCTTTATATTGTCTATCCAAACAGCAAAGTCAGTAGCAGCAGCAGCTTTCGTTTGTCTACATCAATGTTGTGTCGTCCCTCTTCTTGTACATTACACAAAACACATATAGAATATAACGTCTGCACTTTATCGCTCTTCCTTCCCCTCACTCCTTTTGCTTTTTTACGTATAGAAAAGAATCAATACTGACTGACTTTTTGTATATGTATGTGTCTTTATTTCGATTTTTACTGCTGTTGCTTCTTTCGATTACAATATATATATATATACATGTATAAATCAAAGAGTCAGAAAAAGAAAAAATATTAAGAATAGAATCAATTATATTATATTTATTGTTTACTAAATGCTGCATCAAATTGCATATCACCACGTTTAAAATCTAATCGACGTACAAATTGAAGTGATTCTTGAGCACCTGCTTCTCTATCCATATCACCATCTTCCCATTCAACAGATAATGGACCTTGATAATTAATTTGATTTAATGTTCGAATAATTCTTTCAAAATCAATTTTTCCACGTCCAAGTGAACGAAAATTAAAAAAACGTCTTGGATCACCAAACATTGTATGTCCACCGAAAACACCTACTTCACAAGGTTGATTCCAATTAAAATCAACATCTTTCATATGAACATGAAATATTCGAGATTTAAAACGACGTAAAAATTCAATATAATCAACACCCTGATATCCTAAATGTGATGGATCAAAATTAGAACCAAAAGATAAATGATTATCAATAGCATTTAATGCACGTTCAGCACTAACAATATCAAAAGCAATTTCACTTGGATGAACATCACATTTTTGATATTCATCTAAAATAGGTTTCCATCTTTTAGCAAAATCTTCATAACCTTCATTTATTTGTTCAGGATTAATTGGTGGAAAACCATAAAGTAAATGCCAAATACTTGAACCAGTAAAACCATTAACAATTTTAATACCTAAATTTTTAGCTGCATATGCCGCAGCAATTACTTCTTTAGCTGCTCGCTGTTTGACACCTTCAGATTCTCCATCACCCCAAACATGGGCTGGTAATATAGATCGATGACGTCGTTCATCAATATGATCACATACAGCTTGACCAACTAAATGTGCTGAGATAGCAAAAAGTTTTAAATTATTTTTTGCTAATAAAGAAAGAATTTCTTGACAATATGATTGATCAGTTGATGCTCTACGAATATCAAGATGTCCACCAAGTTCTAGTCCATCAAAACCCCATTCACGAGCTTTTGTTACAAGAATTTCAAGTGGAATATCACCAAATTGAGCTGTAAATAGAGTAACTGGACGCATCTGAAATATAAGTTATATTGATTAATAATACACATGAATTTAAACAGGTAGTTCTTATACTATTTACAAAATATCAGTGAATATTTAAGTATGAATCTAAAATAAGATAAAATAGGAGTATATTTTGAGAGAGGCTCTTGCATTTCATTGATATGATAAAAAATGATGTGGCGACAATATAGATATACATTGAGGTATGATTGGCTTTTGTTTTAAATCAATGAAAGTCATAATTTGACCATGGTCATTCTTACGTATATATACCTCGTTTTATGTAATTTACAATGATTCAATGTGGTACATTCCAGTAACTTTCTATATAAAATCGAACACGGTTTAACAAAATATATTTTTCGATAATGAAATCATTAATCTTAAAAATGAATCTAGTGTGCTCATATTAATAATGAACCCTTAAAAAAATATGTTTGATATAATGTCATACCTCTTCTATATTAAAATCTCGTATTCTATGACTTCCTCTATATATATAAGTTGTCTCATTAGAACGAATGGAAAATTTACGGTTGATTGTCAAAGTTATCATTAGGTTTCTGTATATTCTTATTTATCGAAAGATTTTCAGTACAAATGCAAACTTATTATCGACAGACTAACACAGTAGACATGAGTTTTAAATTTCTAAACAAGTTTTCTGTATAATTACTATAATGAAAGTATCTCACTTTTAATCCTTTTTCCTTATCTTAGCTGGAAAGGAAGTTAAATGAATAGTACTATATATTGTTGATTAAGATTAATGTTCTACTATATATAATTATTAAAAGTACAAAAATTTTCTTGTTCACTATTTAATTATGCGTTGTAGCCAGAAAATATTCACCTGTTTTTATATTTTCGATAGTAATTCATTCATCAACCACTGATTACTCTCAACATGTTGGGTATAAATATAGCTGTGATTATTATATTAAAAACTTTAATTTTTCTCTAGCAAATATTTCAACTGTAAAATAATTTACATTGTACTTAAATAGCTTTCATAATATAATTTATAGTTTGTATTGGATTAACCATCCATTATAAGTGCAAACATTAAAAAATACATAGTAATATAGTCTGTTTTGATTATGATGTTGGTGGAATAAGTGAAGGAAAATGACGAGCAGCTAGACGAAGAGGAGAATCAATAGTTATGTGATCAAAATCTGTTAGAAGTTCATCTTCTGATGACAGGTCGGATCAAGAGTTACTCATAATTTCTCCGATTTCTTCATCAGTCAAGCGTCGTTTTTTTAAAGTTGTCATAGTGAAAATGTGTAAGGTTGGGCGATGTAATATATGATTATTATTCAAAGAATGCATTCGAATCGCCTTAACGGTTATCTTTTACTACTTGAACGATGCGTATATATATATATACAACGATTTAGAAACAGTAAGAACTTACTAGATTTTCTAGATAAAACACGACTATAACTAGAATTTTACAGAAAGATAGCAACTAACCAAAGAGTGTTTTAAGAGAATCGTGCATAACTAATACAAACAAAAGAAGGACCGAAAAGTAATTCTACTGGAATGAGTAATGATACGTATCACCATGTGAAACGAAAGAAAGCGAATACAAGATAGACATGTAACACTAACAAGCCTAGAGGAAAGAAAGAAGCATGGGATTTGTTTGACATCACCTAGTAAAAAATGAAAAGATACTCCAAATAGTTAAAGAATATATTAGAAACACTTTTGTTTGATAATCACGTTTGGACGTATATATATGTCGCCGGTAATCAAAGGATTGAATATTATTTAGGCAAAAAAATAAACGAAATAATTAACTCACATCACCTATCTTCCTCCTTTATTCTTAATTTTCAATCTCTCATTTAATGTTCCGCATGACTCTCTCATTAAAACGATATACATCGCAGGTGAAAAAAGAAAGTCGTTTTTCACGGTTTGACGTCAAAAATCAACGCCGCGAATGACTAACTAGAAAAAATATATGCACTGGATATTAAAAAAAAAGATTTTGTTTTGTAACATTTATTAACATTTTTTGAAGAAAAATGATTGTTTAAGTTTTATTTAATTCAAGATTTTTTGACATCCTTTTGCCTTTTTCTATCAGCAAAATGTGCAAGTAAAAACTTTTCAACATATAGTTTATGTGAGTTTCATGTTTTAGTCTCAAAGGTACTATGGTATACTCATAAGATTTAGTATTCATACATTGAAAAAAAGTCATATGTGTTTTTTTAGTATATTTTGAACAAAACACAAATATCTATCAATAAGATTGCGTTGTTTTATTTTGATCAGTCCTTATTTTTGTTTTGATTGCGTTGATAAATATGGTAATGTTTATACTATTCGTATTACGACATATATTTTCTAACGCCTTCTTTGATTTAATCATCACTCATATCTTGAAAATATTCTCCATCGTCATTAAAATTTCGTATAAAAGGACGATATTGCGATATATAATAATTAAAAAATCATTATATACTGTATGACATAAAGGTAAGTTGCATTATAAATCAAAAATAATTTTTATATTGAATGACAATTCGTCATATGAAATATTTGTATTTGCACTTGACGAATTGTTGAATTATCTATATCAATCTTTAGCTTTCTCAAATACACTTGTTTTATTAAAATAGTTCTCTCATCATTGGATTTCATGGAGATTGAATTGAAAACAACTGAGCACTCATCGGATGATCGACATCATCCGAATGAAGTGAATACTATCACTACATTACCCGAGATAATCGAGACAAACCATCATGCCGATGACAACGAACACGTATTAAAGAAGCAAAATAGGCAACAGTTTGTGTTTTTTGTTAATATTACTAATCGTATATATATTTATTTTCAATAGAAAAAGTATGTGTCTACCGATAAAACCAATGACTAAAGGTATCATAGGATTCGGTGTATTTGTCAGTATTTCCATGATTATCGGTATATTAGTCGTTTGTTTTACTTCACCAAAACCAAGTATATTCTTTATTTATTTTATAACTATTTTTTTGTAATGTTTGTATATTATTTAGATAATATATGTCAATGGAGATTTCAATCAATAATGAAAAGTTCGGTTATTAGTAGTTCACAACCACGTGCAGTTTCTGTTGCTGATTTTAATAATGACAATCAAATCGATATGGTCGAAGCAAATTCTGGTACAAATACAATTGGCGTTTTTATTTTAGATATTAATGGAACAATTATCAATCAACAAATATATTCAACAGGTGCAGGATCCCGTCCGTGCTCTGTTGTTGTTAATGATTTCAATCAAGATGGTTATATTGATATTGCTGTAGCAAATAATGGAACGAACAATATTGGTATATTCATTAACAATGGAAATGGAACATTTCGTAATCAACAAATGCTTTCCACTAACTCTTCTCGTCCATCGTTTCTTGCTGTTGGTGATTTTAATAATGATAATCATTCAGATATGGCTGTTATTTATTATGGTACTGATAATATTGGTATTCATTTAGCAAACAAAGATGGAACTTTTCAGACTGGTGTTACTTATAGTACTGGTTATGATTCATTGTCATATTCATTAGCCATTGGAGATTTCAATCACGACAAACAATTAGACATCGTTGTCACTAATTATGGTACAAATAATATTGGAATCTTTCTTGGATATGGAAATGGAAAATTTACAAACCAACAAATTTATACAACAACACCGAATTCACATCCAACATCTGTTACTCTTGGAGATTTCAATCAAGATAACCAATTGGATATACTTGTCTCGAATTATGGTATTGGTAGTATTGGTTTATTTCTTAATCAAGGTAATGGTACTTTTGCAAAACAAATCCTACATCTCATTGATTCTCAATCTCGTCTACAGTTTATCACTGTTGGATATCTTAATATGGATCAATATCTCGATGTTGTTATTGTTGATTCAGCTAATGATCGTATACATATTTTGCCTGGATATAATAATGCAAGTTTTGGTACATTAACAACATATGATTCAATCGCTGGATCATATCCATATTTTGTTGCAATTGTCGACTTTGATAAAGATAATCAGTCTGATCTTATTGTTGCTAATTATGGTACCAATAATATCACAATATTATGTGGTTATTCAAGTAAACCATCTGTTCGACAAACAACATACTTTATCGGCAGTAATTCTCGGTCATCTTCAGTTGTTATTTATGATTTCAATAAAGATGGCAAATTAGATGCAGCTGTTAATAATTTTAATGATGGTTATGTACTTATTTTCAATGGTATTAATAATGGAAAATTTATTCGAGGAGATTCGTATCCAACAGGCAATGCATCTGGTACAAAGTATATGCGTCTTGGTGATTTAAATAATGATAACCGAATGGATATGGTTGTAGTTAATTCAGGAAGTGATTCTCTTGTTACTTTTTTTAGTAATGAAGATGAAACATTTGGATCAATGAAATCTTATTCGACTGGTATTGGTTCACAACCTAGGTTTGTTGCTCTTGGTGATTTTAATAATGACACTTATTTAGATATTGTGTCTGCAAATGCTCTCGCAAGTGGAATAAGTATATTTTTAAATGATGGTAATGGGAGTTTCAATGACAAGGGAACATATTCTACTGGTGCTAATTCTCGACCTTATTCAGTCGCTATTGGAGATCTTAATAATGATAGTTATCTCGATCTCGTTGTCGCTAATCCAGATCTTGATCCAGTTGGCGTTTTTTTAGGTTATGGTAACGGTAGTTTTGGAGTGATGATACAATATCCAGGCGATTGTTTACAAAGAACTTTTATGGTTGTTCTTACAGATTTAAATCGAGACAATTATTTGGATATTATTGTTACTTGCTTCGACGAAGGAAATGTACTTGTTTATCTTGGAATAGGCAATGGCACTTTTCGAACACCTGTAACATTATTTACTGGAACTGATACATCCCCATACTATGTATATGTTGCTGATTTGAATAATGATCAACATCTTGATTTTGCTATCACTTGTCTCGCACGAGATGAATTGGTACTTTTTTATGGAGATAGTACTGGAAGTTTTACGTTAGCAAGAAGATATTCAACTGGTTCAGGTTCAAGTCCATATGCTTTGATTGTTATAGATTTGAACAACGACAAACAATTAGAATATGTGGTTACTTATTGGGGTACTGGATATTTAGCTGTATTAACTGAATATTATGCTGCTGAATTTACTAAACAATTCTCCTATAATACTGGATCTGCTCCACATTCATATTCATTAGCCGCTGGTGATTTTAATAATGATAATCAATCAGATGTTGTTGTTGCTAATTCAGATACCGATAATATCAATATCTTATTTGGTTTAAACAATGGACTGTTTACGTCCCCAATGACCTATTCAATTGGAAGTGATAGTTCTCCACAATATGTTATTACTGGTGATATTGATAAAGATAATCATTTAGATATAATTACTTTAAATTCAAAAGAAAATACAATGAGTATAATCATGAATTATGGTAATGGAAGTTTTGGACAACAAAAGAAATATTCAACTGGATCTAATTCATTTCCAACTAGTATAGTTATGGGCGATCTTAATAATGATAATCGAAATGATTTTGTTATTACAAATAAACAAGATGATAGTATTGGTATTTTTCTTGGATTTGATTATACATCATTTCAAAATGAAATCACATATTCTATCAACAACACTCAAGGAGCAGAGGCTGTTACAGTTAGCGATTTTAATAATGATAAATATCTTGATATTGCGGTAGTTTATTGGGGAAGCTGGCAGTTAGCTATATTTCTTGGTCATAGTGATGGAAATTTCAGTCTATTAACAATTTATTCGACAGGATCTAATTCTACTCCGGTTGCACTTGTTGTAAATGATTTCAACAAAGATAATCATGCTGATATTGCCATAGGTTATGCTGGAAGCAATGCTATAGGCATTTTTCTTGGGTTTGGTAACGGGAGTTTTTCTAATCAAGTAATGTTTTCGACTGGAATTGACACTGAACCATATAGTTTGGCTGTTGGAGATTTAAATAATGATAATCGAACAGATATTGTCTCAGTCAATATTAATGCTAGTAATCTAGGTATTTTTATTGGAGATGGTATGGGAAACTTCACTCTTATGGAAACATATTTGACTGGAGTTGCAACGCAACCACGGGCAGCAGCTATTGGTGATATAAACAATGACGGAAATATGGATATTGTTGTATGTACTTATATTACCAGTGCTGTATATGTTTTTCTGGGATATGGCAATGGAAGTTTTCAAACACAAGTATTATATTCTGTAGGTGACCAATCATGGCCAACTTCAATAATTCTTGCTGATTTCAATAATGATAGTCACTTAGATGTTGCTGTTAGCAATTATAATGGTAACAATGTGGGTATTCTTCTGGGATTAGGAGATGGTACTTTCGATAATGTTAGTACGTATTCGACAGGTGACGGGGCTAGACCTTCTAGTCTAGCTGTTGGTGATTTTAACAATGATAAAGTCTTAGATATTGCTGTTCCTAACTATGGAACGAGTACGACTGTTATTTTATTTGGTTTTGGTGATGGAACATTCTTATTAGGTACTTCTTATTCAACTGGTGAAGGATCTTCCCCGTACTCGATAGCTGCAGGTGATTTTAATCGAGATGGACAATTAGACATTGTTGTAGCTAATCCTAACGCAAACAATGTCGGTGTTTTTCTTGCATATGGTCGTGAAAATTATGCAGGTGTAATAAAATATCGAAGTGCTGATGGATCACAGCCACAATCGATTGCTCTTAGTGATTTTAATCATGATGGTTGGTTAGATATTGTGGTAACTAATTATGGTATTGATAACATTGGTATTTTATTTGGACTTGGAAATGCAATATTTAGTCCTATGATAACATATTCAACAGGAATCAATTCTAGTCCATATTCTATTGCCATTGCTGATTTCAATCACGATAATCATTCGGATATTGTTGTTACGAATTCTGAAACGGATAATATTGCTATCTTCCATGGTTATAGTAATGGAACATTTGCTCTTACAGCATTGTATTCAACAGGTACTCGTTCTCGACCTTATACAGTTACTGTTGGTGATCTTAACAGTGACAACTATTTAGATATTATCATTGCCAATTCTGGTACAAATAATATATTTATACTGTATGGATATCCAAATGGAACATTTGGAAATGAAACTTCATATCCACTAGGTTATGGAAGTCTTCCATATTCAATTGCTTTAACTGATTTAAATCAAGATGAAAGAATGGATATGGTTGTAGCATGTTATGGCACAGACAATATAGATACATTAGTTAAAATGTGTATTTAATTCTTTCTTTCTATTAAAAATTCTTTTGAATATCAATAAATTTTGTTCATTTTTTTTCATTTTTGTTTTTGTGGAATTTAATGCGATTGAACAAGATATGTTGAACTCATATTCATATCTACATTCATACCCTCAAATATTGTCAATTTTTTGAAAAGCAGAAAAAAAACAGTACACATTTCCGGGGAGTTTCCCCGAGGAATTCCTTAGAAAATTACTCTTCTCTTGATTTGATCTAATAAACTGCATTCTAAATTTTTTTTATGGGCAGAAATCACAAAGTGTCAATGTATTTCTATGAGAAAAGTGTTGAATTATGTTAGATAAATTATGTAAATGTCATTCACCGTTAATACTCCATTTTAAGTCATATAATTGTATTTATTTCAAAAATTGGCTACATGGATATTTCACTTTTTTATTTTATAACATTCGCATGATTTCTGTATGCTTACGTTTGTCTGAAGAGTGAGTGGATGTAATTGTTTTTGTAGGAGACAACTAAAATATTTTTGTTTTTCAAACTTTTTAAGTTCTTCTTTTCTTCTTGATTATTTATATAAAACAATGGGTGTGAGTGCGAGTTAAAGATAACACCCACCTCACAAACGAAGAGAAACCATTGCTTTTGAGTATTTCTTCTGAATATTTCAACCTATATCAGAACAAAACAATGATGAAACATTTTTTTTATCTCTTTAAATATATAAGAATAGTCCTCTGATCGACAGTAATTATTCTGGTGGATTCATCATAGTTTCTAAGATTGTAAGCACAAGAGGGAGAGAGACACAAATATAATAATGTCTCCTGTTCTATCTTAGGTTTGCTTGAATTTATTTATTCAATGATTGATTAAATCTTTAGAGAACTAATTTTAGATATATCATGAGAAGTACAATGTTGATTAAAAATAGTCAGCAAGGTAAAAAGGGTTGAGGTGAAGCTATTTGAAAAGAAGAAGTCTTTTTTGTACAGTGCAGTTGCTTGACTATTAACCTTGTTTAATCATATCTACACATTTTTCTCCAGTCATCATGCATGTAATACACGGATTAACAGATATCATTGTGGAAAAAACAGATGTATCAGCAATTCTTAAATTTTTAATTCCTTTAACTTTTAATTGAGAATCAACGGCTGTCATATTGTTATTATCTACATTACCCATTTTGCATGTTCCAGCGGGATGAAAGAGTGTTGTAGTCGCTTTTCGACAATAATCCCATATTTCTTCGTCAGTTTGAATTTGTACTCCTGAGAGTGTGGATGTGGGAAAGAGACAGACACAACACCCATATCCACACTCACCCTTAAGAGCGATTAGACACCCGAAGACGTTCCATCATCAGCCATCGAACAAAAGAAACCTGAAATGTGTCAATTATGTGGATAAAAAGAGGATTGCCTCTTCTACAACAACGATGCATTCAAATGGGAATTATATAATGAAACATTTCTGACTGATGTTCGAAAAATGCTCTTGTATTTTGTGAGTACTGATCGGCACGCAAATTCATAGGAAATTTCCTTGTGTCATTTTAGTCGTGAAAACCGTATCCTTCTCGCTGCACCTATTTAATAATTATTTAAGAGAATCTATTATGAACTGAATTTTTATGTGTGTATTTATTCATGCAATCTGTTTCTAACGCTGAGGTGTTCGGTGGAAAACTTGAGTGTAATGATCGATAAAACGACTTCGTACAAAGTTATACAGTTCGTACTCAGGTCTAAGCAGTTGACGTAGAATGGAACGTGTTTTGTTACTTGTCATATGTCGATATTTATTAGGTGTTGCAAACACTTTCCCACTACTGAAGACATTCAGATAAATGTCTATCATACCGGTGAATATGGAAGGCTGAATATGTTCAAGCAGTTCCAATGAACTTTGAATATATTCTAAGATACCAATGTGAGTATAATATCGTTCAATATTTGATTTAGCTTGAGAAAGAGCAGCATCGCTCGTCGGTCGACTAACTGTATCATCGCAAAAGGACGATTGACCACAAAAGAAGCTGATTGGTGAATAAACTCCATACAGTTTTGTGAGACATCGAGTGGGATCGCCAGTTGACACGCATTCATCCATTGTTAAGTTTCGGAGAGATGGATGTAAGAACAGGTTTGCATGTCCTGCACCCAATGAACCACCGATATAACGTTCAAAATCAAACTCTGACAAGGTTCTTTCCAACGGATCACGTAATTGATTTATATAATAGAATATATTCTTTGATGTTGAGGGTAAATTCACAAAGTGAAAATGTTGCTCGTAGACAACTCGCTGATAACTGACATTGTATGAGTATCGGACGAGATCGGTGACTAACGTATGTTGTTCCTCGGTTGAGTAACGATAATGTCTCAATTCTTGCGACTGACGAAATGTGAATGCACGTGTTCGATTTGATAGAATTTGAAAGATTCTGACCAATAATGTACTTCCACATTTAGGAACACGATTATATACAATAATAATGCCTGCGTCACCATCTGTATATTCTCTTCGTAGTTGTACGAATATCATGTAAACAAGGAACATTACTATAACTGTGAGCATTACCAACTTTTCCATACAGCGTCTCCTTCGCATTCGCATATTAATACAGAATTGAGAAGTCGGCATCACTTCGAAAATAAATTCTAACAATCGAGTCAATGTTTTTGTATAGAAGTAGCTAAAAAGACTTAAAGAATGAAGGTCCACTGTCTTTTTATCAATCTACCGTTCTGGAACAATCGTAGAACGATAGATTCCAGTATGGTGAACATGCTATTACTACTATACATCCATTTTACGGGTCATGCGAAGCGAGTCAAACATATCAGCGAAAGAAATGTGACTCACTTCATGTAGAAAAAACTAGTTGATCATACTACAGCTCTTACTGTATGCCTTCCTTCCATCAATACGATAATCTGTCAAGGTCTACATGGGCGTACTACTTGTAATTTTTCAAGATCTGCCTGAATATGGTAGAGTCATAAGAAGGAGCGAACATATACGCGAAAAAAAAGTGGCTCACCTGACACAGAAAAATGACCCAACCAATTTCGAGTCTTTAATTTCTTATAAGTTGAAATAATCTGCATGAACATCCGAGCTATCGTAACACGATGAATCAAGCAAATTGAACTCTTTTCTACCCAGCTTTTAATAACAATGTCAAAATGAGTATGATGCGAAGAGTCTAACCAATTCAAAAAAATGAGTCGTATTTCCTATGACACTTTATTGGGATCTGCGTTCTATGTCCTTGAGAATTTGACAAAGATCCTGCAAAGATTCCTTGTGTTTTTGGTTGCAGGCATTTTCTGCGAACACAACTTACTCTCATTTACACATTTTCCTTTCAGAAAAAAAACTTATTTATTCCCTTCTTTATACTCTTTCCCGGAAAAAAATGTGTCTATCATCATTCCTACATTCTCATTGGCAGATGTGTTTTTCTTGTTCTCCTTCCTGAAAAAAAACGTATTTCTTTTTACTCCAGTCTTTTACGCAAAAAAAACTTGTTTGCCATTGTTCTTGCATTCTAAATATCAGAAGGAATATTTTTTACTCTCATTGTTACATTTTCTTTTTCAGTAAAAAATTATTATCACTCTCGTACGAAGAGAAAGAAATTATTTTATAAGTCAGTAGTAACTGTGGTGTTATTTTCTTGTCTTTTGGTGGATAAATGTAAAGACCAAAAATAAATTCAAGTACCTATGGGTTCAGTAGAGTTTTCAACTAGTTAGTGATAGTAAGAGTGATCAAAACAGTCTCATCTTCGCGTGATGATGAGAGATATACTGCTTTTCTGAAAAGGTTTTATGGAAAAGACTTAGGACTTTAACTTTATCGATCTTGTACGTATAGCAAATGTCTTCAAGATTTCATTACAAACTACTGACTAAATAATAATTTTACTTACCACAAATGGTTTTGTTATTCAGGCAGGTACATAGATGTATCTTTTATTCCAATGGGACATAAAAGGTAAAGTTTTCAAGATGAAAAATAATAAAAGTATCAGTCATACAAAATATACTAGTGTAAATGATACTTGTTTTTAGAGTATCCACTATGTAAGAAGGGAAGACATTTACAAGCACTATCTATCATTCTTTGCTTGTACATGTGCATTGATGCTTCAGTGATTTTGTTTTTATTCGATGATATTAATGAATCACTTGTGCGTTGTAAGCATATTACAAAATATCATCAATATTATTTTATCCAGCAGCGTACACTATAAAAGGGTGTGCGTATGGATGAACGATAAACTAAATACTGGCACCCACATCGATGTTCTCGTGGAGTAATAGCCGTCACTGCAAAAGACATACGAATGATTATGTCTTCTGTTCTCTTTTTCCATCCATCTTGTTAATTGACATAGAAACAACATAAAACGCTCCATTCATATCTTTATTTTCTACAAGTAGAAAAGTTCCAATTTCTTAAAATAATCATCGGAATCCTGTATAAAACATTTAATATAATTTTTAAAGAAATGTGATAAGAGGGATTGAATTAATGGAAACTCTTATTTCGTAGACGATGATATACAGTCGTTGTAATATTGTGTGTAATTTTTATTATTGAAAAAAAAAAACAGAGTTGAACTGAAGATTATACTGAACATATATATATTAAGAATGAAAGGAGAGAGGATTCTTTTACCTCTTTATTGAGGCGAGAAAAATATTTGAAAGAACAGAAAAAAAACAGCATGTATATAACCTAAGTACGATTGCGAACACGTTGTGTAATCAAGGTGGATGATGTTGCATTTTGGTTGCTTTATTTGTAACAAAGTAACAACATTTTTTTTATCTCAATAATTTTTACTGTGTTTGATGTTAGAACATTAAGACGGGTAATTTGAGAAAATGATTCTTATTTATACGTAAATGATAAATCTTTACGTGATCAATGTATGAGCTCGACTATAATTAGTAAAAGAAAAAAATACTTGAGCAAATTTTTCGTAAAGAGATTTTACATATCTTCAACAATAGTATAGTCCTTCTATTGATATCTTTTATATTTTCTTCTTTAAAGTATATGCATTATAAGTGACTCTTTACCTTTTCTTTTCCTTTCTTTTTTCTTGCAGTTTATACACGTTGCATTCATTTAAGTTATACAGTTGCATAAGTACTCTTTAAATACAATGACAAATAAAATTCTCATTACGTGTGCTACTGGCAAAATATCCAACGTCCTCTCACCTCTTCTTCTGAAGAACGGATACAAACTTCGAGCATTCGTCCATTCTCAACAGTCGGGCAAACGTCTTCAAGAAACACTGGGAACACAACATGTAGACGAAGGCACTCTGGAGATTTTCGTTGGCGATTTAGAAAACAAATCTGATGTAAAAAAGGCACTTGAAGGTGTTGATATTGTTTTTCACATTGGTCCTTCTTTACATCCACGCGAAGATAGTATTGGAAAAATTATCATCGATGAAAGCAAAAGTACAGGCGTCTCGCATTTCATTCTTTCTTCCGTATTGCATCCCGTTCGTACAAAATTACTTAATCATCGAATTAAAATAGTTGTCGAAGAATATCTTATCGAATCTCGACTGTCATACACAATTCTTGAACCAGGACATTTTATGCAAAATACACAAATCAAAGACATTACTGATAAAGGTGTAATGAATCTAATGTATTCATTCGATGAGCTACAAGGTTACCTCGATCTTGCCGATTACGCAGAAGTCACTTTGAATATTCTCCAGAATCCTCGCCATCATAATCGAGCTACGTACGAACTTTTAGGTGATAATCGAACGGGTCGTGAAGTGGCTCAACTAATTTCGCAGTATAGTGGAAAAGAGATTAAATGTCAATTGTGCCAATTTGAAGACCTCAAAGATAAAATTCCAATGCTGAAAGACGCTAATGAATATGTTCAAGATGGCTTTGCAAGAATCATGTTCTACTACAACCGTTGGGGCTTAACTGGAAATAATAATATCTTACGATTTCTACTCGGTCGGGAACCAACATCGGTGGAAGACTATATTATCAAGACTTTGAAATCATAAACTCACCTTTCCTTAATATATATCTTTATAGAACTGATGAGTCTGAATTAAAAGATGTACTCCAATAGCTAGTATGAAAATACAATTTTAATTCCTTCACCATCATAGAAGACTTTTTCCTGATGTATGTAAATTTTTCAGTGACAGTACATGCAGGGTGGACAGATATGAGTTTGCGTGTAGAAAGGTGTAATATATAAATAACCAAAATATGAGAATATCGTGTCTTACATTGTTACAATCTTTTCGATAGTACTCTATAAAAATTTAAAAAAGCTTCTCCATGTCGTGAAAATCGCGACAATTCTCGTGACTTCGAAAGTAATCGACGATTTCTATGATATGGGTTGAAGTTCTAAATATAATTGTAAAGTTCAACTGTCAAAAGGAGAAAATGAACTTTTATAGAAAAATATTTGACAAAACTTGAGAGTGAGTGTGGGTGTGGATGTTGTATTCTTCGCTCATCTATGTCCACACCCACACCCTCAAGAAAAGTTCAAATTCGACGAAAAATAAGTATTCTATTCAATTGATGACAGCGTTGAACAACCGAATTAGAGTATTTTATTTTTTTATCATCAGGAATAAAATATATTTGAAAACACCTGTTTCTATTGCATATTTTTGCACATTATGTGTTTTATTTCCCTCACTCAATTGTGCATGGAATTATATGAAATGTAGATTGAAATCTAAGAAGTTGGTGGATAGAGTCGATCGTAAGAAGTGACCTAAAACTGACGTTTTCCAAACTGAAGTCCATTAGTCCATATTTCACCTGTCCTTTATATCTGAATAATTTCAAGAATAAAGACAGATACCGAGCTTGCATCTAACATTGATTGTTTAGGTGTTCTTTTTCTGGACTAGTACTTTCAGTTGCCACTTAGTTAACATTAATTAATTGATTAATTAATGAGAAACTAATTAGAAATTGTTTTTAACTAAATGACAGAAAAATTCAAGATTCCCAGGTGAACTTCATCATTCCCGACAGTAACGAACTAGTATACATAAGCAACTTCTGGATGCTTCTTTTCGTTTTTCGAGTATATTTAGGGATGATTCTCACAACTTTTTGGAAGCTATACGGGGGTTTAGATATACTTCTCATGACATGTTTAGAAATGATCCGTATAACTTTTTGAGGTCTATTTAAGGTTGAAGCCTAGATTTAGTACAATTTTGTGTTTTAGTCTTAACTAAATCGGATAGTATGAAAGAATTGCCTCGAATACTATGCAACTTTTTGCATACTCTCATCCGTGTTTTATCCGTTGTAGAGGAGTTGATTATAGCTAATAGCATTAGTGCGGTAAAGTCCTACTACAATTTCGATCAAGCTAGTTCTTGATTTTGCTAAATAAATATGATGTCGGAGAGGTTTTAAAGAATAAGTCTTTGGTTGATGACAGGCATAATCAACATTTAATGAGTGACAAAAAATAACGTGCGCGAGAGAAAGGTAAAAGAATAGTTTGCGTACAGTATAGTGGCTAAGAGCGTCTATACATTGCACTCAATTATTTACTGATTCAACTGTTCGAGTATTTTACTTTGCACCTATTTAACGAAGTATTCAAGTACTCATCTGTTCAACCTTTCTGTTACCGTTCCGCTCAACGGAGACTTTGACCGTTGAAGCATTCGGTTATCTAAATTTTCGAACGTTCTATTGATCACATTTGCAAGGTCTTATTGTGATTATTAGGATTTGAAACTAATATCATAGTCTGAAAATTTTTAGTTGTGGTTATTTATTATAGTTATGAAATTATTCCTCTCACCGTTATGTTACGAGATGTAGTCAAGAGAGTATTCTCTTCACAATCTTTCTTGCTCCAAATCCTCAACTGCATAAGGTACTTAGTGTGATGAAGTAGATTATTTCCTTCATACTGACGTTAAGATATATGAAGATGCAACTGTTTGGTTCACCCTTACGATCACGACTAACTGAAAACTACTAAATCGATAAGTCTTCGAATTCATCTTTGGTCTTTATATCTATCCATCGAAAGACAAAAGATAACATCACACTTACTACTTATTATTGAGTAAAATTTAATCGGGCAATAAATAATACGAATGAGCAATAAAAACAATACAGATGAGTAATAACCAAGCTTAGCGATAAAAAATTTGACTTATCAATAATTATACTAACTGGGCAATAATTATATTAACTGACCGATAAATATAATAGTTCAGAAATAATTAAACTAACGGGTGCGGCAGAATAAACGGCGGTCTCAGTATTTTAATCGTAGTTTTTTCATTTTTTATGGTATTGAGC